CTTATATAAAATCAAAGCATTATGAAGAAGAATTCGTATCAAAATATCCGTGATTTAGAGAACTCCGAGTATTAATCCATATGATTGGTTTTTCAACAACGTGCACGACTATTGCTCTGATAATTATTATGATAAAATGCATTCCTGCGTGGAAATGCAAAGCTGAAACGTAAATATTCAATGTTGCATTATCAGAAATAAACAGACATCCCTAGTCTCTTAGCATGAAAAATGACATTGATTTGCAGAAATCATTTTTAAACACTCAGGAGGAACCTGATATACCAGAAAACAAGTTTTCACGTACAAATACAAAAGTTGATAAAGAAACTCAGGTCAAAGAATATTTTATAACACACGACATTAATCAGACGGCATTTTGTGAATATCCTATGAAAGTTAAATTTAAAAACAAAATGAAGCTAGAACAAAACGCAAAGGAAACAACTTTCTATCAATTCATAAATTGTAAAATTAGGAATTACACGAAAGTCAGTTAGGTTGCAGGCGGATCATAATCTACGTTCAATACTAATGAAATTCATTATCATCGAAATTGAAAAACATAAGTAACAACATTTTTTTATTGGAAAGAAAAAGTGATGATAAATTAAAAAATACGTGGTATTTTTAGTCCACGGCACATAAATGTTCGCTAGGCGGGAAGGCTCACTCACGCCTGACAAACATTTATCCAAATGTGAGAATCAGAAATTGAATTATATAATTTAACTGATTGATGTATTTAACGTTATAAGTTAGTCTAAATCTTGTACTATCTTCATCGGGAATTTTTCCTTAAACAAGATTCATTCGCCCTTTTCTTTATTTTCTCATGTGGAAAATATTATGTTGTATTTTCTCCATGAAAAACAAATACACCCATACCTCGCTATACGGCCGCTCTTTATACGGCATTTCGCTATAACGGCCCTCTTCGATTAAGGCACGTTTTCGATTTACGGCCTAAAATGTTTCGCTATAACGGCAAAAAAACTTTTTTCGATGTCGATATATCTACATGTTGCCAATCTTGCGCAAGCGCAATCTCGATGCACACTCTTTTCTATTTCCTCTTGTTTACGAGCGTTATTCAGTGTGTGCTCATAAAGCGGCTGGTTTAGACTTGTCTGTGAGTGTTTTATGTACATATTTATTACTGAAGAACGAAATAGACAAGAAGGCAAGACAAACAACGGTGGACAATTTTTTTAAGCCAGGCCCATCCTTACCAGCGAAAAATGATGACGACAGTGATCTGCAGGTTACCATTTCTTCATCGTCTTCAGATTAAAGCCATTAAAAAAAAATTATATATGTAAACATACACATATTTTATGTAACATGAAGTTGTTTCATTTTTGTTTATAGATTATTGTTGGTTTTTTAAGTCTGTTATTATTATATGTACAAATGTATGTACTTCTTATGTATGTATTTTTGATTTAAATGAAATAAAAAGATAAAATGCATTTTGAATGATAAATCATGTTACATATTTAATAGATTTGGAACCGATCCCATTGAATTCGTATGAATTTGTATTAGAATAATTGACTCCTTATACGGCTTTTCGCTTTGCGGCCAAGTTTCGTGGAACGTATCTAGGCCGTAAAGCGAGGTATGGGTGTATTATTCTTTCAAAATTATTAATAAATCAGTGTGAGAGGTAAATTTCTTCCACATGTTGTTCTTGCCAAGGTGTTTATTTTGTTATAAATAACGTAGTGTCGTTTTAATGACAAAATGTGAAAATAACTTTCTTTCTCACACCCCTTATCTTCTAAATTCGACCACCATCTAAATGCCCACTCCTTTTCGACAGTCCCCCAGAGCATATATTTTATACGTAAATAAAATATATGCTCTCTGTTTCAAATTAGTAATGTCTTGTCCCTGTACATCGAACATTTTTCTTAATAATAGAATCATGCAGGTCATTATTTGATTCTTTCAGGGAAACATATTTGAATTGAAATAACGTGACTTCCAGTTTGAATCGGAAGTTTGTTTATAGTTAATCGGACGCTCCAGCCATAGCCTTTCTAAATCTCTTCTCGGCATTCATCAGTTTTATTCTGTTCTCGAGATTAAGGGAAGCCAGTTGGACGATAGTGGGTGTTCATGTTTCCAATTTTTTCAAATTGCAGTCCAAACAGGAAAAGTATAAAAATTGTATGATTGTTTCCCAGTAAAAATTTAGTTGTTAAGGGAGAATTTTTTGAAAAATTTTTCAGTAATCATGATAAACGAGTATATATACATATGGTATAATCAGAGCTGTGCCAATGTTTTTAGTGCCATAGACAATACGATGTACTTTTAGACCACGGCGCATAAATGTTCGCCAGGCCTGAAAGACTCTCTCACGCCTGGCAAACATTTATGCAAGTGTGAGAATCAGAATTTGAATTATACAATTTTACTGATTGAAATATTAAACGTTATAATTTCATCTAACTGTCGTGCTATTTTGGATCAGAAATTTCTCTTTAAACAAGGTCCATCCGTTACTTTTTTCATTTTCTCTTGTGGTAAATATTATATTGCATTTTCTCTAAGAGAAAGGAAATAAAAAGGGAATTTTCCCTTTTTATTCCAATGAAACCTTTTTTTTATTTCGTTTTACTTTTCATAGACACAATGTAGTGACACTTCTTAAACACTTGGCAGATTATTCATCTTTTAATAGGTTGGTAATATTTTCCTTTCAAATATTTATAAATCAAATATTTTCAAATTTTTCATAATATTTGAAAATATTTGATTTATTTTCAAATAATTCAAATATTTTCCTTTCAAAATTGTTAATAAATCAATGTGAAAAGTAAATTTCTTCTACCTGTTGTTTTCACTAAGGGAAACGTATTGTCGTTTTTATGAAAGAATTGTAAATTAACTTACTTTCTCACACACCTTATTTTTTAAATTCGACCACCATCTGGATTTCCACTCCCATTTTCGGCAATCCCCAGTACAGCCCGTTAGAGTACGAAATAGAGATCTGCCATTGGTCGGAAATCGGAGAAAAAACCGACCACTTTCTCTGATCAGTGCCTTCCTAGTCAATATTTCTCTGAATAGACCTGCCTCGTAAATTGTTCTTGAAAGAAAAATATAGAAGTTGTCCGCCAGAATGTAGACCATTTGCTCTTGTGCGCCGCTAGAATCGATCGTCTCCCGCTGCACCGAAACATACTGAAACTCCAATCCGATTAACGCCGATCAACAATTCAAGCTACTCAGTCGAGGTAGTGTACCTTAAATTTATGTAAATTTTCTCTCACACTTGCGAGATAGGTATAGCGTATAATTGTTAGCTTCATATTTGTATTATATCTTGTTTTATTTTTATTAAAATATCAATTGTTATCTTAAAGAAATGGCCTCCTCTATGAAGACGATTTCATGCCAAAATCTTACCACGTATCTACAGTCCCTCCCAATCGACAGAGTGACTTAAATACGTAACTGCGTGCCTATTGCTAAATTTTTAGACTGGTGTCGGGAATTCCGACTGTAGATCGGGATTTTACGATCGTTGATCTAAAAACACTTTTGAAAACCATCCTACAACTCTGCGGGCGAATCTTCCAGATTAGTAGCCGAGTAAATGGAAGATATTACATTTATTTACTCCCGGTTCCTCACACAAGACCTTAGCAACAAGGTCGTACCATTTGTCCCGTTGCCAATGCAGTGCTATTGCTCTGAGTATAATAGATTTATACAATAAAAAGTATTGTTACAAACGAAATTAAGTTCAAATATTGACCAGAATTAACATTAAATATGTACTGTACAAATATAAAAAGTTTATCCGAAATGCATCAAATATATATTTGTTTAAAATAAATTACGTTTTTGTGAATTACAAACGGCGCTACACCTTCGACTACGTTAACCCTGGTAAATTCAATTTTTAGCTATTTCCATTTTGCTGTTGGCACTAAGACGATCTTTTATCAACACCGATCGAATAGGATCCAGAATAAGGCACCAGGGAGCTGAAAATGGGGCCTGCCATATCTAGGACACGGTTTCCATGAAAAATTCCTAAATTTTCTACTCGGATTTATTCGATCTCTGATTGCTCAGAAAAGAAATTGATTTTCTTACTGCTTCTGTAATCCATCTATTAAAACATTTCGTTACACATGAGGTAATGGTGCAAATTAATTATTACATTCACTGGATTCAGTAACACAATACCATAAACGGTACGCACGTGGCGACATTCCGCGAAACTCGAAATGTTTTATCATACCACAAAAATACAAAATAAAAAGTAAACACGTCATTTCCATTGTACTGTATTTTTACGTGGAACCAAACGTTCAGGGACTTGACTTACAGTTCCCTGGTTTGAATAGTTTCAATCAACAACGCACTATCACCTTGATACTAATCCCCTCGTTCGAAGTTACACTGTTTTCTAGCGCTAGTACAGCTTGTGGAAGCTGTACTAGCGCTAGAAAACAGTACTAGCAAAATACAAAAAAAGAATTTTTTGTAATGTACATAATGAGAAAATGTAAATGTTTTTTATGATTTGGTTTGTTTTTTATGGTATAACATAGTCATGTTTTAATATTTCTTGTTTATTTGAACTAGCACTGAGGAGGGGTTGAAGTACATTATATCAACCCGAAATATATTTGTAGTTCAATGGAAAATAAAAAATAATTTGCTAACCAGAAATTGCTGTGAGATACGTCTACCAAAGTGTGTTTTTTAGATTATAGAGACGGATTTACATTTGTAATATACCATACAGCAAGCCGTTTATATATATGTTCTTCGAATGATTAATACAAATGTGATCAATTATCAAAATATCTGTCTCTTATTGTCTTCTATAATCAAACTAATTGCATATTTTCTCCTATAAAAAATTAGAAGCAGAACAATGACAGAAATTTTGCTAATATATCTACCATAATTAATTTTACATGACTTGGCTTCTAATTATTATATAAGCAAAATTTTTATCGTTCCAAACAAAATTCGATTTAGATTCATGATTAATTGTTGTCTTGTTTCTCGTTGTCTGTATTAATGGTAGCCCAAGGTTGAACTTTTGCAGTAGCTCCAAATATAAAAATAACACCACCAAGAATGTAAGCCGAAGAGGCCATATAAAAAACGTAGTTCCATTGAATCATGTCTCCTTCCTTATATGTAAAGATTAATAAAAAGATTATGAATATGTTATATAAGTAAACATAAATTTAAAAAAAATTTGACTTACGTTTTTATCTAATATAACTCCAGCAACATAGGGTGAAAATATACCTGCAGCGTTATATAAACTATCAGTCAATCCGTAAATGACACCTAGACAGAAATTAAATTATGTAAAATTTGATAAACATTGAATAAAATATTTTCTGTTATCCCAAGATTTTACAATCTTTATTGTTCATCATTTAAATGACAATTTTTTTTTTTCATTTTTAAAACAGTTTACATTATTATATGTATTATTAAGAATTCGGTGATGGTAGTACTGTAGATTTCGATTTATTTTCAGTTTCTTAGTAGAGCAGAGGTCGCGTAAGAAAACGAACGAAAATTCGTAAACATTAACTCAAAAATTCTTTGAACTAAAATGTTTAAAGTCAACACCGTAGATGAGTGCCATAATTGAAATTTGCCCGGTTCTGCATGAACCTGTAACTTGCCACAATATGACACAGTATGTCACAAGACCTAGTATGATAGCTTCTCTGTGGTTGTGAAGCTGGTTACTTCACTGGCTCAGTAATTTACTCATAAACCGTAACTTCTGGATATGATTCGTGAGAAAAACAGAGATGTAATGACAAATATACAAAAAGATATAGATTAAGTAAACATTTCCAAATTGATTTTTGTATAAATTAGAGACGAAGTCGGTCTAAAAATTATTTCAGACGATCACCATTCTTATTTAGTGTTCTAGAACAAATCATAGATATTTGGACCTACCGTTTCAGGCTACATAACTGCCTAAAGGATGAACTAACAAGACGTCGTAAGATCTACCATTTCAATTTTGAAGAAGAATTCTTTTAATCTTTATTGGTTCTTTCTGTGTTTTTAAAGAACGTTTTCAAATGTAGCCTAAAAGGGAAGGCCCAGCTGTCTATGATTTGTTATAGAACACTAAATAATAATGATAATCGTCTAGATTTAGACCGACTTCATCTTTAATTCGTACAAAAATAATTATTTATCCAACGGAAATTCAAATTTCCAAATAGAGTTTAAAAAGTCGAAAAAAAGTTGTTGGGCTTTCCCGGCAAACTTTAAAATTGTGTTGTGTCATTCGTTATTAGCTTTTATTTTAAACAGTTTTTATATAATTAAATCTTATAAAATTACAGTGAGTAAAAATAAGATTTAGAGAGTGGAAATAAGATTTGTAAAAAATAATGTTTTTTACGATCAACTACACTCGAAATATCACAAAAAATCCCATGTTCATCTTGTCACCCCCTCGACATTTAACCACAAAAATATAAGAGCATGAATCACCTCATACAGAAACCTGGCTGGAAAAATAAAGAACTTTATTAAAAAAGGCACAGGAGTTATTAAGCTTCAAACTGAATGAACAAAATCGTACCCATCCATACAATAACATTCATACATTACAGAAAAAAATTCCCCGCAACATTTGCTCCTTGTTTCTAGGTTTTTTTAGTTTAAAAATGTAAAAATCTTTGAAAAAGTGATTTTTTATTTTTTTGCATATCGGCCATAAAAATAAAAATATCAAATATTCATGTTGCAAAAACATGAATATTTGATCGGCTTTATGATAATATCGAGCTTTTCAACACTTTATTCGTTGTGCATGCTTACAAAAAATTTTTATGCCAAACAGAAAGAATATTGCATAATTTTAGCAATCCAGTGGAACAATGCTGAATGCAGAATCAAATTTCTGGCTGTCTGGATAATATCGCCTAATTTCTTTAGAACAGTTCGCACACTTCGACTTTTTTTCAGGAAAAACTTCGAGTACGATATAAATAAATACAGTGCATTGTTAAAATTAAGAAAAATAATGACTTACCTGCAAATTCTGGAGCTAAATCAAGCGCTATTGCAACATCTCCTGAAATATTAAAGCCAAAACATCCCATTCCAATCATTAAACAAATAATTACATTTGTACTTTCGCATCCTAGAAATGAAATCGCTAAGATGCATAATGCCGGACCACACGTAGCTACAGTCGAAAGATGAAAATACGTATTAACGTTTTGACTGAAATTTTAGAAAAAAACTTTATAAAATTAAGACTGCAGTTACTTACCAATTGTTTCGCAAAGTTTTCTGATATTAGTTATACTTAAATATTTACGAGATTTTATGAAATCAGCAATGAAACCAGAAATAAATATGGCAATACAATCCACGGAATAAACTAACGCACTCATTATTCCATTCTAAAACACGGATAATATTTATAGATTTGTTGATGTAAGACTTATGTATAAAAATGCGTATACCTTTTGGATAGGGAAGTGGAGAATAATCTCTAAATATGATGGAATCTTGGTCAATATTGTAAAATAACCGAAACCAAGACATATTTTCGTCATAGCTAGTATCCATACTGTTCTGGATGTTAAAATTTGTTTCCAAGGAATATTCAACTTCTGTTTCAAGTAAAAATGTATTTATGAGTGATTAATCGAGATAAAATACAGCAGAAAATAACGTTACCGTTTCTGTTGGGGTGATGTTTGTTACGCATTCGTTAAGAAACGTCAATTCTTTGTCAGATATTCTGGGATGTTCTTGAGGTCTGTCATAAACTGTGCACGTGACACATAAAGTAAAGACAATCCCACATACACCTGTCAAATGTACAGATTACAAAAGATATAGTCGCATATATACATTTGAAGAGCATTTGTGTGTTTTTATTTACCGAATGTGTAGAAGCTAAAAGGCCATCCTATGTGTTGACAGACATATCCTGTCGTAATTATACCAACAAACGTACCGACTTGCATGCCAGAAACTGAAACTGATGATAATGTGGACTTTTCGTTTTCTGGACTCCATCTTCCTAACAGTGTAAGAGATCCGTAAAATACAAGACCCTACGATTGAAAAGATCCTTATTATTCTCCAGTCTTCAATGACATTATAGAAGTAAATTTTTACCTGTCCAAATCCGAAGATAGCTTGACATNATTGATTCAAATAAATTAGCTTTGGGATCGTGCCGAATATTTATACAAATTAAGATAATCTGAAAACTTATAAGATCACTTACGTTCATTAGATATTACAGATTTGCTTGTAGTTTTCTGGAATCCGTGCCTCTATACAAAGCTATGCACTTCAGGCAAAATCTACATACTTGAGTACTAACGCCAGGAAAGCTCTGTTATTGGGAAATTAAATATTAATTTTCAATGCATATGTAATGCCAGGCAAATGTAAATTTTAAATTTAAATTTATTGCAGTATCATTTTAGTTAATTAAGATGCATTGCTGTTAGTTCTAGCTTGTGGTTTCATATTTTTAGTTTTAGTTTTAAGCTTATATTATCGGTTTTTATTACAGATTTATTATATAAAAATTTAGGAGAAAGTATGCGTGAATTTCGATTGTTTATTGAGAACAGTTACAATAACTCTTGTGGCTAATATCATATAATAAGATTAAACATAATATATCTTTACGATAAGTGCGTAAAACTTGCGATATTATAGGATTGAAATTGTAAATTAGAAACTACGTTTTAATATAATGAAGCCTGAGTATAAAGTCAGTATGGAGTAATTTCCATTCCGTTCTTGTATAACTGTTTTATTATTTGAATTAATTGATCATTTCATACATGAATAATTGTTATAGTTGACAATATTTTTCACGTTTTAGCTGTTGTGTCCCTGTTAATAAAAACGCTTATTAAATCATACACATAATGAGTTCGGTTAAGCCCAAGAACGGTGTCCAGCTAGAGAGAAACGAAACACGAAATATCTGGCATAAACTAATTTCCGGAAAAATTTCTAAAGATTTTTGATTAAACGGATGCCGTTCGGGGTCTCACAGAGAGATAAACTGATGCTTGAACTCACCTTCAAGTTTCCATTATATTCTACATGAACTGTTTTTCATTTTAATATATCTGTCATACAATTTACTGATATTTAGTCGAAAATTTCATGTAAAGGAAACTTCAAGTCGTAGTAAGACAGTTTCAACATTTTTAAATTTCTAGTTACTAATTTATTCCTCGTCACTGTATATGATTATATGATGTATTTACACATGTACTTTATAGACTAGTATCAAATTAGTAAATACATGTAAAGCTTCTCTTCAACTCTAAATTTAAATTACCTATAATTTTATATAATTTATCTTATCTTTTTAGTT